CGTTAAACAACAAACAAACAACAAAGTGTGAGGCCCATTTATGGTGTCCGTGTGATATTGCTGGAATATTGCTGAAAGCAGCCTAAAAGTATACTCACTTCTGCTGTTTCACAAGAACTTGGATTCTGGGCAGGTGAACCAGTGGTTGATATCATGAACACCTTGACCACACATCATAGCTGCGGTGCAGCTACTACATTGCACATAAAGTGACAGCTTACACTTTAAATTATTTAAAACATAAAATAAAATAAATTTTAAAACAAATATACTGTAAGGTGTTCTGTATGTCATTTGTTAAAATTACATGATCTTTGGTAAATTTACAGGTCGATCCATCTACTAGTGAGAAAACTGTCATGAATGGGTTGGTTTGGTATTGTTGTGTTCTTGTTGCAATAATGTTTTGAGGATGATCTGGTTTGATCACAATGAACAAACTATTCCACGGTTATAACATGTTCTGTCCAGTATGTGGTTGTGATATCTTTGTCATATCTCTGTTATAGGTTTGTTGCATAAGCCTGGCCAGTTGTGTTAGATAAGCATGATAAGAGCTTCAGAAAAAAAACTGTACTGTAACATGTTTACTCATACATTCTATTTTCCCCTAGCTACACCCTGCATAACCCCCTGATTGTTATTAGCCAGCTCTCATGACAAGCAGGGAGTACCAGGGACTTGTTCTGCTCCAGCGATATGAAGAGGCTGATATGAGGTCATCTATGAGTAACAGAGATGGAAAAACCCATATGAGGTCAACAGTAAGAACAGATATATTGGAGAGGCCTAAATGAGGTCATTAATATTAACAGAGGCATTGGAAAGGCCCAGGAAGGTCATCAGTAAGAACAGTGACATTGGAAAGGCCTAAATGAAGTCATCAGTACACAGAGCAAGTGAAGAGGCTAAAATAAGGTAATCAGTAAGAACAGAGATATTGGAGAGGCTAAAATGAGGTAATTAGTTATTTAAAAACAGAGACATTGGAAAGGCGCAACATTTGTATCGACAGATACATTGGAGAGAACAAAATGAGGTCATCAGTAAGAACTGAAATATTGGACAGGCCCAAATGAGGTCATTAATATTAACAGAGATATTGGATAGAACCACAGGAGGTCATCAGTATTAAGAGATAGTTGAGATACTAAGATGAGGTCATCAGTAAGAACAGAGATATTGAGGTCATCAATGAGGTCATCAGTAAACAGAGAGAGAGTGGAGAGGCCCAAATGAGGTCATTAGTATACAGAGATATTGGGGAGAGGCTAAAATGAGGTCATCAGTAGGAACAGAGATATTGGAGGGGCTAAAATGAGGTCATCAATACAAAGTGAGAGATGGAGAAAACTCAAAAGAGGACACAAACTCTGATAGAGGATGGCAAAACCCTTCAACATCACCTGTAGCAAACTTAGAATTTTTCATAAGATTTGGAAACCCACAAGTTGAGAACATATAAGATTGATAGCCCACATGGCAGCGTTAGAAATTGGCACTAGTCCTACAGTCCTTGACAAACTGCCCAATAGTAAAGGCATCATAAGGACTAGTAGAATTTTGCCATTTTTAAGGGTTTTTAATATGTTATCATTTTAAGGACTAGTAGACTAAAACTGTCAGTTGCCATCACTGCATGGGATACCCACAGTAACCATCAGTATCTTCAGAAGACCATCCATGAGTAACGACACTAGCTCCTCCCCTCAGCAACTTCATCCTCCATGCAGCACACCTTCCAGGGATGCAAGACATTATTTCCAGCACTTCACGGAAACTGTTTGTCTTGGAGTCCCACCTAGTAACACCAAACACTCCACCGAGGTAATGCATCCTGGACCATCATCTCTATTTCGGGATGTGAGCAAATCACACATATCTCTCAGCTCCTCTGATAAAAATAACCAATGCGACCTGTACATCTTGAGTTATCTCTGAGTATATCAGCACATGTATAAACACTGCTATAGCCCACAGTCTGGGAATAATATACAAACGATATACACCTTAACATGAATAAACACTGCTATAGCCCTCAGTGAGAGGAAGATATAACTTTGATATACACTAGCCAATACTGCAGGGGATGTCAAAGTACAACATTGTATCTACCAGCCTATCAACTGAGTTCTTTTTTGACAGCTACCACTTTATGAAGTGCTACCAGAGTGTAATTGAATTTCTCAGCATGGTGCTATTCATGAACATAAAGATTTTTATGGTTGAAATGCTAAAGGTATTAATGATATGTTGATATGAACTGCTAGCTGATGCCTGGCTAGGGGTTATAGAAGTAGGGGGTGGGGTGGGGTGGTGTGGGGAGAGGATCATGGTTAAAGCATGTTATATAGACTGCAGAGGGTTAAATATAGAAAATCCAAGATTTTTTAAGGTGTTGAGGGGTAAAATTTTGTTTGTTTACATGTTTAACTTCTGTGTGTCAGTATGTGTATGTGTGTGTCTGTGTCTGTGTCTGCGTCAGTGTGTGTGTGCTTTCAGACATGGATGGCGGGAAATAATTTTCAATTTATCTGTTTTTCAATAATACATAGGTATTACTGTTTGGATCATGTCATGGCATAAATCCACATAAATCATCATCATCATCATTAATGAATACAAAACTACAACAATACAGCCAGCTTAAAGTAGAGAGTTGGCCATCTTCCAAAGCAGATACGCCCCAAACATACGGCACAAATAAGATGTGCACTTTGGTCATACCAATTCACACAGGTGTAAAGGTGCATGTTGCGTCATGCACCAAAAAAAATAAAAAAATAAATCCACAAAACTATCATGGGACTACAGTTATCATAAGTGTATGTTAGAGTATGGGAGTTCTGACAGCCATAGCACTCAGAATGCTTTGTGGGGCAGGCCCTGGTGTTGAGGATACAGACATGTTTAGTTGGATATACAAAATCAACACAGGTGTCCGGTATACGGGGAGAGTGCACGTGTAGAGATGTACCAACATACGTACCACACTACACAAACACAGGAACTCAGTTGATGATGCCTTCACCATATGTTTTCTCCATCGAGACCTCGTCCAGATGAGGTGCACTAGTTGTCTGCATCCTGCCCTGAACCCTGACTCACACTTCCTCCTTTACTAGTCATGCTATTGCTGAATGTGTAGGGATGGCATGACTAGTCAGACGACTAGTCAGACGACTAGTCAGATGAGGAAATGTTCCGGGTTGAAATGAAATACTAGAGAAATGTTCCAGTGATTGTTAGCTTTGTGTGTTATTCAACACCAGGCAGCTATATTCCAGCTAGATCCAGGTTCCCTGTAAACAATCAAGTGTGGACCAGACAAACCAGTGATTGATATTATGAGCATCGGCTTGCATTGATAGAGTATGATGATATGCAATCAATGAAGCATCTTCCTGAGGTAAAGGAGTTCAATGACTTTAAAAGTCCATTTTCCACGTTTGCCGAACTACGCAGGAGTCAAAGAGTTATTTTTTGCCTGGACTAACGAGTCTATGCATTGTCCAATCAAACTTCTGTTACAAAATCGACATCAGGTTCATAAATAGCATGGCAACTGCCGTGCTGAATTCATTCTATTGCAGGATTTGTAGAGGATTTAAACTGTCGGCTAGGCGTCGACAGATAATTTCCCAGTCTTTTCATGTTTTTAATAAAAGTGCTCAAGTGATTTGATGCACTTCATGGGGTAAAATCCGTTTTATTACAATAAAGATCTTAATTACAGATGAGATCATCTTAAGTGGGCGCCACCATTTTGTTTGAAGCAATGCAAGTGATATGAGAGATAGAATTTGATTGGTCAGTAGGGGATCATAGAAGGGACATAACTCATAATAGCCACTAGAAATTCCAGGTCGGCAAGGGTACAAACTGGACTTTTAAAGTCAGTTAACTCCCTTGCCTCAGGAATATGTCAATGAAGTCACCAAGCCTGACCGCTCAATCTATTTTGTTGCTGCTTTTGCAATATCCCAGCTACATTCAGCTATGTAAATACTCAACCCCAACTCACACCATACATATGCTCGTGGGTTTTACCAAAATGGTAAATGTCAGACCCTTAGTTCTTGCTACCGCTTTACGGCACGAGTTTCAAACTGGCGAGTACGCTTCGAAACATATTTTGACATATATTCCATTAAAAAATTAAAAACTGAACAAAAGAACATCCTGGATGGTTTAGATAGTATGAATACAGACATAAAGCCCATAACAGTCGTTCGGAATACCCTGTGTGTGGTTTTTTTTCAAGTTTGCATGATAAAAAATAACATTCCAACTGTCACTTTCATGATCTGCTAATTGATGATCTGATTGGTAAGATGAAAGGTTGATCTGACATGACCCGCAATGGGAAGTCCTCAGATCTTTGTTTAGAGGTAGCGAAATCTAAGATCTGATTTTAATGAGATTAAGATGGTGTGATATAAGTGGAATACTGTTCAAAGCAGCATTAAACCCAACTCACTCTATCAGTACAGCAATTTTTGAGAAAGAAAATCTCTTTAAAACACAGGTAAAACCCTGCCCCTCATAGATATGTTATACATACATAACCGCAGAAGTTGTTGACATTCCCCCTTGCATCTTGAAACCTGTTACACACAACAGAAATAACCTGCATATGTTTTTCTAATTATGTTTTATACACCGATAGGTACAAAGAAAGGTATCTTTGCCCCCCTCTCTCCTAACTAGTAAACCAAGTGTCTCTTGTGTAAACCCACAGCTGGGGAAATGGCCACACATCCTGGGGAAACTGTTGCCTTCAGATATCCACCATCACAGCTCCAGCAGATGGCGCTCCCAGAGATTGGATGGAATCATCTCAGGGCAATGTTAGCAGTTGGGATCAGCACTTGAGCCTGCGATTGCAGACTGTGTCAAAATGTTTGAGCTTAATGGGAAGCAATTAAATCATCAGGTCTGTAATTTGTCCTGTGATTCATCCATGTAATGCATGTTGCGGAGACAGGAGCTGGGATGTTTCACTGGCTAATCACAGGGTGGGGGTTGAAGGCAGGGAGGAGGATCTCAACAGGTGGGGTAGTTGATGTGGAGGCTTGCTGACAGAACAAAGATACATCTTTCATGGTGGAAGAGGTGCTGGGTGTTAGTGATGTGAAGGTTTAGCTGTAGTTCTGATTAATTGTTTCCACTGTGGACAGATTGGTTTCATCGTCCCACCAAGGAATCATGAAAGGGAATGGATTATTTTTCAGTTATATTATTTATTGCTAATGAATTTGTTTGGGTTAAGAATATTGGTTTTAACATTCAGCTAAACAGGGGATGTTTGGGACAAGAAGGGTTACCTGGAGACATATTGGGGAGGAGGTGTTTGGGACAAGAAGTGTTACCTGGGGACATTTGGCTGGTGAGGTGTTTGGGACAAGGAGGGTTACCTTGGGACATATGGCTGGTGAGGTGTTTGGGACAAGAAGTGTTACCTGGGGACATATGGCTGGTGAGGTGTTTGGGACAAGGAGGGTTACCTGGGGACATATTGGGGAGAAGTGTTTGGGACAAGGAGGGTTACCTGGGGACATATTGGGGAGGAGGTGTTTGGGACAAGGAGGGTTACCTGAGGACATATTGGGGAGGAGGTGTTTGGGACAAGAAGGGTTACCTGAGGACATATTGGGGAGGAGGTTTGGGACAAGGAGGGTTACCTGGGGACATATTGGGGAGGAGGTGTTTGGGACAAGGAGGGTTACCTGGGGACATATTGGGGAGGAGGTGTTTGGGACAAGGAGGGTTACCTGGGGACATATTGGGGAGAAGTGTTTGGGACAAGGAGGGTTACCTGGGGACATATTGGGGAGGAGGTGTTTGGGACAAGGAGGGTTACCTGGGGACATATTGGGGTGAGGTGTTTGGGACAAGGAGGGTTAACTGGGGACATATTGGGGAGAAGGTGTTTGGGACAAGAAGGGTTACCTGGGGACATTTTGGGGTGAGGTGTTTGGGACAAGGAGGGTTACCTGGGGACATATTGGGGTGAGGTGTTTGGGACAAGGAGGGTTACCTGGGGACACTTTGGGTGGAAGGTGTTTGGGACAAGGAGGGTTACCTGGGGACATATTGGGGTGAGGTGTTTGGGACAAGGAGGGTTACCTTGGGACATATTGGGGTGAGGTGTTTGGGACAAGGAGGGTTACCTGGGGACACTTTGGGTGGAAGGTGTTTGGGACAAGGAAGGTTACCTGGGGACATATTGGGGTGAGGTGTTTGGGACAAGGAGGGTTACCTTGGGACATATTGGGGTGAGGTGTTTGGGACAAGGAGGGTTACCTGGGGACACTTTGGGTGGAAGGTGTTTGGGACAAGGAAGGTTACCTGGGGACATATTGGGGTGAGGTGTTTGGGACAAGGAGGGTTACCTTGGGACATATTGGGGTGAGGTGTTTGGGATAAGGAGGGTTACCTGGGGACACTTTGGGTGGAAGGTGTTTGGGACAAGTAGGGTTACCTGGAGACACTTTGGGTGGAAGGTGTTTGGGACAAGGAGGGTTACCTGGGGACATATTGGGGAGAAGGTGTTTGGGACAAGAAGGGTTACCTGGGGACACTTTGGGTGGAAGGTGTTTGGGACAAGGAGGGTTACCTGGGAACACTTTTGGGGGAAGATATTTGGGACAAGTAGGGTTACCTGGGGACACTTTTGGGGGAAGATGTTTGGGACAAGTAGGGTTACCTGGGGACATATTGGGGCGGAGGTGTTTGGGACAAGTAGGGTTACCTGGGGACATATTGGGGCGGAGGTGTTTGGGACAAGTAGGGTTACCTGGGGACATATTGGGGCGGAGGTGTTTGGGATAAGAAGGGTAAGGTGGAGATACCATTAACTGTTCACCTATTGCTTCTTCATCCACTGATCAATCTTTAAAGTTTAACTAATTCCCCAAACTGGTTTGCTACAGCATATTTTGGAAAAAAACGCTTGATTCTTGAAAAGTTTGGGTTATAAATATATTTTGGAAGAGAAGTGTAAGACTAAACTGGTTTACTAGGGACACATTGGGAAGGAGTGTTAATGGTTTTGCTGGGGATACACAGGGGAGGAAGTGTTTGGGAGAAGAAGGGTTTCTTGGAAACAGTAGTCCATTAGTGGGTGTGGCCTTTTTTGTGTTTTAAGGAAACATAAATGAAAAATACTTGCTTGGTCAGCAAACCAATGCCATGGAATGAGTTTCAAATTATTTATATGTATAGTTAATGAAATCAAAATGTTAGTATAGAAGTGTACGGGAAACATCTGCTTATGTGCAGCCCACAACTCTTGATAATCAGTATACACGTATCATGAACCAGGTGCACTTGATTGGTTCATATCTCTCCAATGAAATCCTCATAAAAATAATATGAATATTAATCTCATAGTATATCATCACATCAACATAGTTTTGGAATGTAGCTCATAAAATGACCCTGACTCAATGTTTGAAGAGACACAACACTGAGTCTATGGCCTCTGGGAGTCTGTGAGAGGTTGAGGAGGACCAGGGCAGCTTCTTATTAATAGCAGTGTGATGAGTTATGACAGGTGTTTAGATGTAAACGAAGCCAATGATGTACAGATGGCAGACCAGAGATGGGCAGTTAGATGAACCATCTAGGATTCAGTTGTCCATTGATTTCCCTTCAACTTTTGCTTGACCATGTCAATTCAGATCAGATGTGGAGCTTGGTGGTGATTCACCTCAGATCCATGTTTGACCATCGCTTTCTAAGAAACATAATGAAGTTCATTCAAGGCTCTGCTTCTGATGCCAATTTTAAATCCACAAGAACAACTGATGAGCAAACAAACTGATGAATCAACAAACATTCAAATCGACATAAATACTCGGACACAGACAACTGTTATATCTATTGAAATAAATTGCTCCAAGACTGATATCATTGCTGTGTATTGCCTCCATGACATGTTGGCGGTCGGGTAGCCTAGTGGTTAAAGCAATCGCTCGTCACTCCGAAGACCCGTGATTCCCGACATGGGTGAAATGTGTGAAGCCCATTTCTGGTGTCCCCCGCCGTGATAATGCTTGAATATTGCTAAAAGCGGGATAAAACCATACTCACTCACTCACCCATGACATGTCAGACAGGCCTACTTTATGATGGCCAGAGGGGGCACCGGTGGCCCAGTCGTCTAAGGCTCCGCGATTCGCTGTGCAGAGTTGCATCCATTGGGCACGCCAGAAACCTATGATTGTGGGTTCGAATCCTGGTTCGCCCCGATTATGTTTCTAGGTTTGTCAGCACCATACCCGTGCTCGTGGGTTTCACCGAAGTGGTAAATGTCTGAGACCTGCTTCACTTCGGGCTTTCCTCCCACATTAAGCTGTCACGCCGCGATATAACTAGAATACTGTTAAAAGCGGCGTTAAACCAAACCCAACTTGTGATGGTCAGTGAGGCCTATTCTATGATGGTCAAGGAGGCCTACACTAAAATGGTCAGTGAAGCCTACTTTGTGACTTGTCAGGCCTACTCTATGACTTCACAGTGATGCCTACTCACTCTATGACTTGCCAGGCCTACTCTATGACTTCTCGGTGATGCCTACTCACTCTATGATTGTCCGTGAGGCCTACTCTAAAGTTGCTTATTTGTTCCTCTATGACTGGTTGCATGCTAATGGCAAACCAATAATGCCTAATCTACAGCTGATCTGTGACAACTGGTCAGTAATGACTGGTCATTGATGGAATGCCCACTTGACCACAGTCCTCATCCGTCAGTATAGCTCTAGCTTGAATGATGGCTGTCACAACACCTCACAGCATTAGAGCCAGTCATTCGGAGCTTCTAGGGAATACACCTCAGAACTGGTGATTGTGGGATTAATGATTCTTGTACAGAATGTTGTACAGCATGCAGATACTGATACTTCTGAGAATAGCGGGTGGTCAGTAGTACAGGAATGGGAACTGTTCTTCTGTTGGTAACTGAACTAGATGCTGCAATATGTCTGACCACTGTTGGTGATGAGCTGGATGCTGCAATATGTCTGACAACTGTTGGTGATGAGCTGGGTGCTGCAATATGTCTGACCACTGTTGGTTACTGAACTAGATGCTGCAATGTGTCTGACCACTGTTGGTGATGAGCTGGATGCTGCAATATGTCTGACAACTGTTGGTGATGAGCTGGATGCTGCAATGTGTCTGACAACTGTTGGTGATGAGCTGGGTGCTGCAATATGTCTGACAACTGTTGGTGATGAGCTGGTTGCTGCAATATGTCTGACAACTGTTGGTGATGAGCTGGGTGCTGCAATATGTCTGACAACTGTTGGTGATGAGCTGGGTGCTGCAATATGTCTGACAACTGTTGGTGATGAGCTGGTTGCTGCAATATGTCTGACAACGGTTGGTGATGAGCTGGGTGCTGCAATATGTCTGATAACTGTTGGTGATGAGCTGGTTGCTGCAATATGTCTGACAACGGTTGGTGATGAGCTGGGTGCTGCAATATGTCTGATAACTGTTGGTGATGAGCTGGTTGCTGCAATATGTCTGACAACGGTTGGTGATGAGCTGGGTGCTGCAATATGTCTGATAACTGTTGGTGATGAGCTGGTTGCTGCAATATGTCTAACAACAGTTGGTGATGAGCTGGATGCTGCAATATGTCTGACAACTGTTGGTGATGAGCTGGGTGCTGCAATATGTCTGACAACGGTTGGTGATGAGCTGGGTGCTGCAATATGTCTGATAACTGTTGGTGATGAGCTGGGTGCTGCAATATGTCTGATAACTGTTGGTGATGAGCTGGGTGCTGCAATATGTCTAACAACTGTTGGTGATGAGCTGGGTGCTGCAATATGTCTGACAACTGTTGGTGATGAGCTGGGTGCTGCAATATGTCTGACAACTGTTGGTGATGAGCTGGTTGCTGCAATATGTCTAACAACAGTTGGTGATGAGCTGGATGCTGCAATATGTCTGACAACTGTTGGTGATGAGCTGGGTGCTGCAATATGTCTGATAACTGTTGGTGATGAGCTGGGTGCTGCAATATGTCTAACAACAGTTGGTGATGAGCTGGATGCTGCAATATGTCTGACAACTGTTGGTGATGAGCTGGGTGCTGCAATATGTCTGACAACTGTTGGTGATGAGCTGGGTGCTGCAATATGTCTGATAACTGTTGGTGATGAGCTGGGTGCTGCAATATGTCTAACAACAGTTGGTGATGAGCTGGATGCTGCAATATGTCTGACAACTGTTGGTGATGAGCTGGGTGCTGCAATATGTCTGACAACTGTTGGTGATGAGCTGGGTGCTGCAATATGTCTGATAACTGTTGGTGATGAGCTGGGTGCTGCAATATGTCTGACAACTGTTGGTGATGAGCTGGTTGCTGCAATATGTCTAACAACAGTTGGTGATGAGCTGGATGATGAATACAGCAGCCAATCACCTCGAGCCAAGCAAGATCCTGGGAGGAAGGATTAGCAGGACAAGTAACGCATGTCAGACACGGTCCCATAGACATCGAGCTTGATGTTCAGGACAGATAATACCTCTATAGGCTCACTTGGAATATAGAAACACCAAGGTAGAACACCCGGGGGCAATGAAAGCAGCATTTACTCACACGTATCAATGATAAGCTTACAAAGGTTTTACTACAGAAAACACACACCTAAGGCAGTCTCAGTCAAGAAGATTCTGAGATAACACTGTAGTCCATCAAGAAGCACCCATTCACCACCCCTTCCCCAACCCCGACCCACACACAGGCCTAACCAGGCCTAACCAACCCACACACAGGCCTAACCAACCCACACACAGGCCTAACCACCCACACACAGGCCTAACCACCCACACACAGGCCTAACCAACCCACACACAGGCCTAACCAACCCACACACAGGCCTAACCAACCCACACACAGGCCTAACCAACCCACACACAGGCCTAACTGACCCACTCACAGGCCTAACCGACCCACTCACAGGCCTAACCGACCCACACACAGGCCTAACCAACCCACACACAGGCCTAACCAACCCACACACAGGCCTAACCAACCCACATACAGGCCTAACCAACCCACACACAGGCCTAACCAACACACACACAGGCCTAACTAACACACACACAGGCCTAACCAACACACACACAGGCCTAACCAACACACACACAGGCCTAACCAACCCACACACAGGCCTAACTGACCCACTCACAGGCCTAACCGACCCACTCACAGGCCTAACCGACCCACACACAGGCCTAACCAACCCACACACAGGCCTAACCAACCCACACACAGGCCTAACCAACCCACATACAGGCCTAACCAACCCACACACAGGCCTAACCAACACACACACAGGCCTAACTAACACACACACAGGCCTAACCAACACACACACAGGCCTAACCAACACACACACAGGCCTAACCAACACACACACAGGCCTTGACAACCCACATGACCAACAGGGGGTGGTGCGGCAGCCTAGTGGTCAAAGCATTCGCTCATCACACCGAAGACCTGGGTTCGATTCCCCACATGGGTACAATGCGTGAAGCCCATTTCTGGTGTCCCCAGCCGTGATATTGCAGGAATATTGCTAAAAGCAGTAAAACCATACTCACTCACTCATTGGTGCACAGCATTAAGGGGATAAAACAAGGAATGGGGCCGAGTGGGGTAACCATGTTAACACTACTACTACTCACATGACCATCACTACTAGTCTAACATATTTCAGGTTCACATATACCCTCTACATCCCGACCCCCTCCACCCCTATCTCCCAAACAGTTACCCCTGTGCTCATTCATGTCTTCTTCGATATGCCCACCAGTTTTCCTGAATGAATGGGTTCTGTACGATCTGTGTTTGTGAATGAGAGCAGGTCCACTCAAGCATGGCCCTGTGTTGTCCTGTCCTCGTTTCAGGCAAGTCTCCTATCTCCCACACACATAAAAGGCTAATATGCTTAAAAGAGTATGGCTGGTTTTTTTATTCACGAATTCCATATTTTGAAAGTTGCCCTTACGGGAGGTTCTTTTGGTTCATGGTGAAGCATGTCGGCCTCATTGTGATGCTTGAATGAAGGCCTTTGGGATAAACAGACACAAATTGGCTGTCTGGAGAACGGTACACAAACACTCTGTCAATACAAGCTGGGATTTAATGAATGGACTACACATTTGGAAAAGTTAAACATTATTCAGCTTTTGAAGTCAATGTACAAGATGTTCACGGCTTATCTGGGATTATATTGAGTGAAAGATATGGTGATTCACATGATTGGTGTTTGAGGAGGAGGGTGTATTGTGGGACCTTGGCAGCAAATATGTCGGTAGGGTGAGATAATCGGTGAGGTGGATCTAGGTGGGAGGGTGTTTGTGTCTGGGTGAAATTGCAGGCACTGGCAACAAATATGAAGGGAGGGAGAAATAAAAGGTGGGGTAGAACAATGTGTGAGGGTGATTGGGGGGGACTGACAACAATTATGTGGAGAGGGTGACATAATGGGTAGGGTGGGGGTGGATCTAGGCGGGAGAGTGTGTGTGTGGTCAATAGCAGCAAAGGATGATATAATGGGTGGGGTAGAGCTTGGTGAGAGGGTGTATAAGGGGGGGGGGGGGGATTGGTGTGGTATAGCAGCAAATGTGAGCAGTGTTAGAAATTGGCACTAGTCCTGTTGTCCTTACCAAACTGCCCAATATTAAAGGTATCATAAGGACTAAAAATATGCTAATTTTAAGGTTTTGCTATATGTTATCATTATAAGGGCTAGTGGACTGAAAATGTTAGTTTCTACTGCTGGTGATGGCAGGAGTATGTGTGTGTGACGGTGTACGGTGATGGCAGGAGAATGTGTGTGTGACGGTGTACGGTGATGGCAGGAGAATGTGTATGTGACGGTGTACGGTGATGGCAGGAGAGTGTTTGTGTGTGTGACAGTGTACGGTGATGGCAGGAGAGCGTGTGTGTGACAGTGTACGGTGATGGCAGGAGAGTGTTTGTGTGTGTGACAGTGTACGGTGATGGCAGGAAAGTGTGTGTGTGACGGTGTACAGTGATGGCAGGAGAATGTGTGTGTGACGGTGTGCGGTGATGGCAGGAGAATGTGTGTGTGAAGGCGTGCGGTGATGGCAGGAGAATGTGTGTGTGACGGTGTACAGTGATGGCAGGAGAATGTGTGTGTGACGGTGTACAGTGATGGCAGGAGAATGTGTGTGTGACGGTGTACGGTGATGGCAGGAGAGTGTGTGTGTGATGGCGTGCGGTGATGGCAGGAGAATGTGTGTGTGACGGTGTACAGTGATGGCAGGAGAATGTGTGTGTGACAGTGTACGGTGATGGCAGGAGAATGTGTGTGTGACGGTGTACGATGATGGCAGGAGAGTGTGTGTGTGAAGGCGTGCGGTGATGGCAGGAGAATGTGTGTGTGATGGCGTGCGGTGATGGCAGGAGAGTGTTTGTGTGTGTGACGGTGTACAGTGATGGCAGGAGAGTGTTTGTGTGTGTGACGGTGTACGGTGATGGCAGGAGAATGTGTGTGTGATGGTGTACAGTGATGGCAGGAGAGTGTGTGTGTGACGGTGTATGGTGATGGCAGGAGAATGTGTATGTGACGGTGTACGGTGATGGCAGGAGAGTGTGTGTGTGACGGTGTGCGGTGATGGCAGGAGAGTGTGTGTGTGACTGTGTACGGTGATGGCAGGAGAATGTGTGTGTGACGGTGTACAGTGATGGCAGGAGAGTGTTTGTGTGTGTGACGGTGTACGGTGATGGCAGGAGAATGTGTGTGTGACGGTGTACAGTGATGGCAGGAGAGTGTGTGTGTGATGGTGTACGGTGATGGCAGGAGAGTGTTTGTGTGTGTGACAGTGTATGGTGATGGCAGGAGAGTGTGTGTGTGACTGTGTACGGTGATGGCAGGAGAATGTGTGTGACGGTGTACGGTGATGGCAGGAGAGTGTGTGTGTGAAGGCGTGCGGTGATGGCAGGAGAATGTGTGTGTGATGGCGTGCGGTGATGGCAGGAGAGTGTTTGTGTGTGTGACGGTGTACAGTGATGGCAGGAGAGTGTTTGTGTGTGTGACGGTGTACGGTGATGGCAGGAGAATGTGTGTGTGACGGTGTACAGTGATGGCAGGAGAGTGTGTGTGTGACGGTGTATGGTGATGGCAGGAGAATGTGTATGTGACGGTGTACGGTGATGGCAGGAGAGTGTGTGTGTGACGGTGTGCGGTGATGGCAGGAGAGTGTGTGTGTGACGGTGTGCGGTGATGGCAGGAGAGTGTGTGTGTGACGGTGTACGGTGATGGCAGGAGAATGTGTGTGTGAAGGCGTGCGGTGATGGCAGGAGAATGTGTGTGTGACAGTGTACAGTGATGGCAGGAGAGTGTGTGTGTGACGGTGTACGGTGATGGCAGGAGAATGTGTGTGTGACGGTTTACGGTGATGGCAGGAGAGTGTGTGTGTGATGGTGTACGGTGATGGCAGGAGAGTGTGTGTGTGACGGTGTACGGTGATGGCAGGAGAGTGTGTGTGTGACGGTGTACGGTGATGGCAGGAGAATGTGTATGTGACGGTGTACGGTGATGGCAGGAGAGTGTGTGTGTGACGGTGTGCGGTGATGGCAGGAGAGTGTGTGTGTGACGGTGTGCGGTGATGGCAGGAGAGTGTGTGTGTGACGGTGTACGGTGATGGCAGGAGAATGTGTGTGTGAAGGCGTGCGGTGATGGCAGGAGAATGTGTGTGTGACAGTGTACAGTGATGGCAGGAGAGTGTGTGTGTGACGGTGTACGGTGATGGCAGGAGAATGTGTGTGTGACGGTTTACGGTGATGGCAGGAGAGTGTGTGTGTGATGGTGTACGGTGATGGCAGGAGAGTGTGTGTGTGACGGTGTACGGTGATGGCAGGAGAGTGTGTGTGTGACGGTGTACGGTGATGGCAGGAGAATGTGTGTGTGACGGTTTACGGTGATGGCAGGAGAGTGTGTGTGTGATGGTGTACGGTGATGGCAGGAGAGTGTTTGTGTGTGTGACAGTGTACGGTGATGGCAGGAGAATGTGTGTGTGACGGTTTACGGTGATGGCAGGAGAGTGTGTGTGTGATGGTGTACGGTGATGGCAGGAGAGTGTTTGTGTGTGTGACAGTGTACGGTGATGGCAGGAGAATGTGTGTGTGTGTGACAGTGTACAGTAATGGTTGGTGGTAGAGGGAGCAATAGTGTGTGTGTGTGTGTGTGTTTGTGTGTGTGTGTGTCTGTGTGAAAGAGAGAGAGAGAGAGTCTGTGTGTGTGTGTGTGTCTGTCTGTCTATCTGTTTGTCTGTGTGAGTGTGTTTGTGTCTGTGTGGTGTGTCTGTGTGTGTCTGTGTGTGTCTTTGTGTGTGCAAGGGTGTATCAATGGAAGCTGTCAATGAGTGCTCATTCTGTTTTAAGAGCAGAATAACATTTTTACAGTACCATGTGCAAGTATTTACTTGTACGACATGAACTGTCATTTTGTTCTTCCTCTTATCAACAACTGCAAGAGACTATACATGTACCACAGCATTTGATGAATTATTATCTAAAAATATTGGGAATGGAAATACAAGTAAATTTTAAATATTTTTCCTGATTTTTACTTTTGGTTTCAGTACTTTGACTCCAGAAAATACAAACGTCGTTCCCTCATAACTTCCATACATGGACCTAGACTAAAGATGTCGTCAGTAACATCACAGCTATAATAAACATATGACGTAGACAGAAAGTCACATCTATTTCAGGCACAACACACACAGCTCTTATACAAAGTCAGACTTGGTTTTTCACCAATTCGGCCTTCTTAAATTCAATTGCGTAGAGGCTCTTTACGAAAGTTTATGCACATAAATATATGGAGGTCAGACTTTAGAGAGAAATTAATCCATAGGACACTGAAGGAGAAGTTTGTCAGTCTCTATACCGATACAGATTCTTCGTGTACACAATCACACCTGAATATGTCACATGTGACCTCGTTATATGAATGTCAGTCGACGTCCTCATTAATCACACTACTGAAATGTATTGCATAATGTAAATATCTACATAATGGGGAAATAATTACTGCAGTATTTGCTGGAAGACGACTTGGCTCAATGCAGTACTGAACACAGTCGGATGACTCACGTCTCTATACAACACTTATACAATCTTCTCAATAGAGGATATACATAGATACATATTTGCACTAGCACCTACAATTACAAACATTCCCCATGGTTGTTTCAAACATTGCAAATATCTATTTCTGTTTATTGCTGCATGACAAATGCTACCTTAGTATATGATTGTAAATCCAAGTTAAGAAGAGGTTAGGACCAACCATTTGATGTCCCAAAAAATAAATGTCCTAGATAAAGCTGGAAAAAAACTTATGCTTCAGACTGTTGAAAAAAATAATTGAAATTTTCTGCCACAAAAAAATAAATTGTTGCAAGGAGCTTCTTAAATATATTTTTGAATTTAGGCTCATAGTTTTAACTTTAAAAAAATTAATATCTTGTTTTGCAGAAGTAGCACTAAAATATATCTAGTCCATAAAATATTCCAGGCCCCCTGCTCCCAGCCCCCTGTTCCAAGCCCCCTGTTCCCAGCCCCCTGCTCCCAGCCCCCTGTTCCAAGCCCCCTGCTCCCAGCCCCCTGTTCCAAGCCCCCTGCTCTCAGCCCCCTGCTCCCAGCCCCCTTTTCCCAGCCCCCTGCTCCCAGCCCCCTTTTCCCAGCCCCCTACTCCCATCCCCCTTTTCCCAGCCCCCTGCTCCCAGCCCCCTACTCCCATCCCCCTTTTCCCAGCCCCCTGCTCCCAGCCCCCTGTTCCAAGCCCCCTTTTCCCAGCCCCCTGCTCCCAGCCCCCTGTTCCAAGCCCCCTGCCCCCTGCTCCCAGCCCCCTGCTCCCAGCCCCCTGCTCCCAGCCCCCTGCTCCCATCCCCCTGTTCCCAGCCCCCTGCTCCCAGCCCCCTGTTCCAAGCCCCCTGCTCCCAGCCCCCTACTCCCAGTCCACTGCTCCCATCCCCCTGCTCCAAGCATGTGTTTTAGGATGTCATCTCTGGAATTCTTTTTTATATCAATATTATATTGTAAAATTTGATATGAATAAAAGATTAATTTGTTTTTTATCAGCATAAAGCAATATATCAATTGGTGCTATCAAAATCATTCAGTTTAGTAATATCAATATCTCACTGATTTCAAGTTATTGATATACATTTAAATAATAGACATTTATTACTCTTCATAATTTATATCGTATAATCCATATTGACAGTGATAAAGTATTCAGTGTAGTATACATAGCCAGGTACTCTGTTGTGGGCTTTCAGAAAGACTATGCACTGCAGCCTGGTGCTTGCATCCAGTCTAGGCCTAGATGTTGTAGAGCTGTAGATGTTCATCTCGCCATCATCATCATCATCATCATCATCATCTCGCCGTCGTCATCATCATCATCATCATCATCATTATTATTATTTTATTACCGTCATAAGATTTGAGTTAGCAGTCAAACAATGTTGAGTTTGAATGACTTGAAACTTGCTAGGACTGCAGATTGCCTGTGCAAATAGTGCCCTTTTAAATGTCAGTGCAGACTGAACTGTTAGCTCCATCAGCTTGCAATGCTTACATACTGATATTGCAGACTTGACAAGTCTGGTGTCCTGTTATTACACAGCATCACACAGTCTTTGCTATCTCATCCAATGAGTGAAGAGACTATCAACAATTGTGAAAAAACGCCACTTCACCATAATCAAGTTTATCCAAAAAAACGGTCAACAAGACTGTTTCATTATAGATCATCTTGACGACATCAGCAGGTGAATTTGTTTGAAAACTGTTACTACCAGTGTATTTGTCGATGTCATTCCAGCCGGGGCGGTTGTGTAGCCTAGTGGTTAAAGCGTTCACTCGTCACGCCAAAGACCCGGGTTCGATTCCCGACATGGGTACTTTTAAAGTGTTAAGCCCATTTCTGGTGTCCCCCACCGTGATATTGTTAGAATATTGCTAAAAGCGGCATAAAACCAATCTCACTCACTGCACCTGAATTTCTTGTTTCCTACTGATTGACAAAGCATCAAGTTGGAGACACTGGCCTAAAACTCAGGACAGTAAACATCAGCGGTGAGATCAATCATGATGAATCCATTAGCTTCGAGGGAGGCCACTCTTCAGGCTGTTGTTGTCTTCATAGCATCACTGCATTGATTGTCTGCCTGGTTAGGATGGATATGCATGTTACCAGGCCCAAATCACTACATCTCATCCCTGAACATGTATTTTAAATATGGCCACAGCTGATGTTGTCAACACCACTATAGATTTGTGACACCTTTGCCACCAATCATTATGACATCAGCACAAACATGTGTTAATGGACTGCTTTCATTTGTTTCAAAAGTATTGTTTACAACTTCCACAATCTGTTGTGCCATATTCTACTACCTTTGACTGCCATACAAAGCTATATTTTCTATGCTGTCATATACTACTCAAAAGGAGTTAGGTGAGGTGAGGTGAAATTGGGTTTAACGTCGCGTCCAAGATTATTGCACTTATATAGCGATGTGCATGCACGTGTGTGTGTGTGGCTGCTTGTACTAGTCCGGACTGATGCCGATTTATAGTGCTAGCTCACTGAGATACCATGCCGCAGTTTAACATGAATACCCCACTCAGACACAGTATATTGACTCCGAGCCGACCAGTCCTTGTTTTAGCCCCTTAATGTCGAGCGCCAGACAGGGTAACAACAAGTACCATCTTTTAAGGTCTTTTGGTATGACGCGGCTGGGGATCGAACCCCGGACCTTCCGCTCTCCGGGCGGACGCTCTACCACAAGACCACTGAGGGGGCACAAAAGGAGTTAAGGAACACCCAATTCTTTCTTTTTTGTTTGTTTGTTTGTTGTTTATAGCCGTACTCAGCAATATTCCAGCTATATAACGGCGGTTGGTTCTTTCCTAATCTTCCCAATTTGTCATGTAATGATATATACTACCCAAAAGAAATTAAAGAACACTCGATTCTTTCCTATTTCAATACTTAATCTGTCGTATGCAATAATATATACTACTCAAAAGAAGTTAAAGAACACACAATTCTTTCCTATTTTAATAGTTAATCTGTCATGGCTCATAAACAGATTAACTTAGCAATATGAAAGAATCAAGTGTTTTTTAACTTCTTTTTAGTAGTAGACAGCATGACATGAACTATAGTAATATGAAAGTAAAATATTCTTGCATATATATATATATATATATTTATGACTGTTGAGGTTGCACGGACTGCCTCCATCTTTGATGTAATATTAGATGTGATGATAGTGAGTGAGTGAGTGAGTGAATATGGGTTTACGCCACTTTTAGCAATTTTCCAGCAATATCACAGCGGGGGACACCAGTAATGGGCTTCACACATTGTATCCATGTCGGGAATTGAACCTGAGTCTTCGGCGTGACGAGCGAACGCTTTAACCACTAGGCTACCCGATTGCCCCAGATGTGAAGATGGTGAAAGTATACATAGGGTATGTGCAATGTGTAACAGCAACAGTGCTGAAGATGAATTGCATATTATCTTTGAGTGTACCGCATATATTATATACAGAGATAGATACTTACCAAAATATGATGGTATATTCACAATAACCAAATACAATAAGCTACTTTACAGCAATGATAAGCTTGTACTTACAAATTGTGCTAAACAGGCTTTATGCCTAAGAACTGTTAGAAAATACCTAATCATTCTATCGTATATAGTTATGTGTATATATTTATACTTCCATGAACTGTAATCAGGTGACATTATTGCCCAAAGAATTAATATGTACACAATTTATATATCTGCACACAGGCCAATGGCCTACACATACAAGAAATGGACTTGATTCATTGCATATAATCTTCTTGTACTTGTGGTAGTCTGTCTCCCAGACCCTAGAGAATAAATTAAAAAAGGAGTCCAATTCAAGTCTAAAATGATTTGGCAAGTCTAGATTACCTCAGCTCAAGGAAATGAAGAACTGTTCTGGGTTCCATTTGGATTGTATTATTTTTATTTTGTAGATATATATTTGTAAATAAGATAACTTTATTTATCATATAATGGGTAGGTTTCTCGGCAGGATAAAGCCAACGGATAAAAACGATATCCGTTGGGGTCATATGCGGATAGAGATGCAAATAACAAAGGTCAAGTGGGACTACTTTCACTGTTTATAAACAAACATGGCGTTGCCCTCGTCATTTGGCGATCAAGTCAGAATTAACCATCGGGAATCTGGATAAACTACAGAGATAATTGATATCATTATCAAAAAAACAGTCTAATATACTGAAAATCAGTGTCTAACTGTGACGTAGCTAAGGCATTTTATAAGTTTTGGCAACTTTGGAGATAAATTTCTAAACAATTTTACGAGGGCACGAGGCCTAGCCAAGCGGGATCAGTAGCCATATCTGTGCTTGTAGACCTCTGCGGCTTGAAACCGTCTCCACAAATTAAAATAGTTGGATTTGGCCGAAATATGTTTGAATTGTTACCTTGTTTCGTTTTGTCGCTATGTGTACATCTGACTACCCTTCTAAACGTTATGACAGGACAGACCGACTGTCAACAACGTCTGACCGTGGCCGTGATGTCTCATAGACTAGGGTTAGAGTAGCTTCCCTTTGACAAAGAGCAGTTACTCTAGCGGACAGACCGATGGATTGTTGCGAAAGGCAATTACAAACAACTGTTGTTTTGCGTATATGTTGCTTCGCCATTGTATAAGAAACAGATTTCAGTTGGAACTATATTGGCTACTGTCACTGTCCGACTGACACATCACTTACCCTGTGACGTAATAAATATTAATGCGCGCATTCCAGGAACACTCGCAATGTTTTGGTAATGTTTGTGAGAGAGGGAAAGCGATTTTAAAGCACAGAATTAAAGAATGACATTATATGATAAAGAGGTTATCATGCTTGTGTGTTTGGGGATGGTAAATATCCTGTATTAGGAATAAACACTATGAATTACAATGTTTATTCCTAATGCAGGATATTTACCATCCCCACACACACTCACGTGATAACCTCTATTTCTGGGACTGAATGTTTGTCTTCTTGTTGGGGCATGGGTAACACAGTCGTCTAAGGTGCCGCAATTTGCTGTGAGTTGCATCCTTTGGGCAGGCCAGGAACCTATGAATATGGGTTCGAAACCCGGTTCACCCAACAATGTTTCTAGGTTTGTCAGCACCATAACCGAACTCGTGGGTTTCACCGAAGTGGTAAATGTCTGAGACCTGCATCACTTCGGGCTTTCCTCCCACATTAAGCTGACACACCGTGCTATAAGTGGAATACTGTTCAAAGCGGCGTTAAACCCAACTCACTCACTCACTCTTGTACTTGTGGTTATTACAGGGACAAACACCCCCAAGTATCCAAGGCTGGGATTTGGTGGTTCCAGTGTTTGACCTGACTCATTTTGCATACCTAATTGAAATTCCTTAGATGTTGGTTTCATGATTTGTGTTAAATACTCATAAGGGATCTGACAAGAAAATAAACGAATTACTTCAAGCTGTGGTGATATCCAGGCTGTAATGACAGCATAATTAAGACCTCTAAATACATCATTCTATTTTTCTTCTTCTGAAAACCATATTCTTTTTTGGGTAATTTGATGTTAATTAAGGCACAGATGATCATATTTAACTGTCTCCACATGCCTCTTTACCAAACTTCTAAAAACAGAAAGAATGATAAACAGCATGAACCTTAAATCACATCAAGGCAGTATGGTTTATATTAATGAGTACATCAAAGAAAAGTGTTTTTTTGTATTATCTTGTAAAATAAATTTCAGTTCCCACTTTGGGTGAAAAGAAGAAAACACAATCAATTTGTTATATCTAAAAGATGAAATCATAAAAATGTGAAAAAAGATTTGATTGTACTGATATTACAAAATTAGCCCATGGTGTCGAACAAAAGGAATTCTATATTAACATTTTTAAAATTCCGCCTAAAACACA